TTATTTCGGGGTATATATATTTTTTGTTGGTGTTTTTTTTTATGATGTATTGCTATTGCTATTGCCGCCGAGATGGCCCCGCCGCGTTGCCCCTAACTGCAATTCTTGGCCTTGTCATGGGCATGGCGACCGCGGTGGCGTGGCTGTGTGTGTTTGAAGGTATCCAGGTGTGGGTGTAACTTCCGCTTCGATTTTTGGCATTAACTAATACACAGGTCCAGGGCGCACACACACACGGATAGGTAAACAAAAATGAATTGCTTTTCGTTGTGTGTTAGTTAGTCTCCGTCTCCGGGTGTCTCACTCGCACGTTATGCTGCTGCTCCTTGCTCTCATCCGTGTTGTGGGTTTCAGGTTAGGTTCTCGCTTCGACTTTTTTCCTGTTGGTGGGTTCTTAGGTGTTTGGTTGGTTGGTTGAGTAATAACTTAGGTCGGTCGGGGGGAGCAGGCGAAAGGTGTCTTCTAAAAGGTAGGTAGCCTCTAAAGTAGTCAACAGCTCTGCTTGTATTGCTTATAATTCTTCACTTTTCGTTTCAATTCGTTTCGTTTCGTTATGCGAATTTGTTTCTTCGTTCGTTAGTTTTGAGGTTATGTGACTATCTGTTTTTTGAGTTGCGTGTATAATAATACCATATGTTACTATTTATAGTTAAGCTATCGTTTTTAGTTTAGTTTAGTTTACAGCGCTCTATTCGGGGTTATTCGTTTGTACTTTGGATTATAAATGTTCTCTATCCTCTACGGTATAGTTATTGTTGCTATTCGGTTGGTTTTGGTGGTGTACAGATGCGAATGGTGGGGCCTGGAACTGGTAGTGAAACTGGAACTGGTAACGGTAACGGTAACGGTAACTGGTAACTGGCGCTGGAGGACCTGAGCTAGAGCTGGAGCTGGAAGTGGGGTGGGCAGGATCTCGGGATCCGAGTCTGGATCGTTGAATTATTTATCACAAAAACCAACTAGCTGCGGGCTTGTGTTGGATGATGATGATGACAGCTCCGTGTTCCCCCTCTTTCCTCTCCTCCCTTGTTGTCCACCTCCTTCGATCCCTTCTATCCGCCTGCTTAAGTTAATGTTTGGTCATGAAATTTTAACGAACGCGCCGCGTTTTGGTGTTTGCGGGTCGCCTGTTGTCTGCTTTTTACTTAGTGGATTTTGTGGCAAATGGAAGCGACGCGAATTAAGGCGGAGAGTTACGTCAAGGCAGCGGCGCAACACGGGAAACCCAAAGCAGGCAGGTAGCTCTCAAATTCGTCCTGTACGTGTGTACATATGTCCTGGTATCCTTGTATCTTGTGTATCTGTATATATATATGTATATATATCGAGCCACACGCGAAGGAGCAAAGGACCAGACCCAGACCCGGGCTGTGTCCCTCCTTGGGATACCGTGAGGCGACGTCCTTCGCCACCCAATTAATGCATTAATCGACCCTCGTTACTTATTCAGATGCAATTTCCCAGGGCCTAGGTCGAGGGCGAGGACTGAGCTCGGGTTTGGGTGTGAATTGAAGTTCGAGTTGGGGTTGTTGTTAGCTTTAGCGGCATTATAAAAATAAATCCATATAGGTAGATATACAGACTGGCGTTTATCTATATTCGCTAGAGGCTAGGTATCTTGTATATATCTTTGTATATATATATATTGTATATAGAGAGGCAACTACTTGGTAGTTTTTAGTTAGTCGTTAAGTGCGTTTATGTTGCGATTATTTGATTTGCTGTCCTACGGGCGTTCTTTGTCTCTCTACAAACTACGAGGTTAGTTCCATTACACTATCTCTATATCCTGGGGCTGTAACGACGGGATCGGATCATCGAGGGATCCATCGGTGAAACGAACGGCAACGAACTACGGTTTGTTTTATGTGGTTAGCGTTTATCGTTAATCGTTTATCTAATAGCACTTTCGTATATAGCGAGTGTCCTTTTTGTATATTTTTAAAAGTAATTCTATTCTGGGATTTGGTTTTCTTTGCCTTTTCGTTTATTCGTTTGCTTTTGGGTTATGCTTTTAAGATTTGCTCAATTTCATTGTTGCAGGTACTTTGGTTTTGGTTGCTATCATTACATTCTATTTTTGGTTATCGCGTGTCCTTTATTTTTAGGCGTTTCCAAGGGCTTCGCTTCGACTGCTTGCTTGCTGCTTTCTGCTGGCGCGTTGATTAAATAATTCTGCACTTTGCGTCGATTTTTCGTGTGTGTTTGCTTTCTAGTCCTTGGTATCTCTTTTATTTCCGCTTTAGTTATATTTCTTCATTGTTTGTTTTTATTTTTTTTAGCAAGTCCTTCTATTTGATTATGTAATTATGCTTGGTTTCTTATTGGATATTGAACTGTACGTGTGTCCTAGGGCGCTCTGTACGAGGTTCTCTCTGTGTGTGTGCGATAGTATTGGTGTGTGTGTTACATGCGATTTTTTCAGCTGCTGTGGCTGTTTGTGGTGGTTTCGTGGGTTGCGATGGACGTAAGTGGTTCGTCATCAACATTTTTCGCACATACATACACAATTCACGGGCGCCACACGTTGTATATGTGTGTGTTAGCGTATTAGGCTGCGTACGTGTGTGCTCTGTGTCCTGTCTAGGTGAAATTTATTGAATGAAACGTCAAGCGATTTGACGAATTTTAAACAAATTATTTATAACACACATAGAAAGACACACGGAAGCACACGCACAGACACACAACGCACACGAGAGAGACACGCACACAACACAGCAACAACAGTCGTGGCACGGAAAAACGGCACTCAGGACACAGTGGGTGGAATAACGGAGAAGAAGGAGAAGTAGAACCAGAAGAAGAAGAGCCACAAGGTGGAGGAGGATGAAAGTGGGAGGAAGTGCACACGTTAAATCAATGCTTCTTTTGACCTCTATTACATATTTCGCTCGACTTTCCTTTCGCTTCCTCCTTCCTCGCTGCTCGCTCCTTGCTCCTCGCTTCTCGGTTCTCCTTCGAACTACTCTTTCTCCGAAAACCCACGGCTACCTGAAACTTTTTCCAACGCCCGTGTTACGGCACATTTAATACGTTTTCGTATCAGATACACAATCACTTCATTACTTTTCTCTTCCGATTTCGATTTCAACTGTGGGGTTTTCTATTTGAATTTATTTCGTGGCTGTTGTGTCGCGCTGGCTCCTTTCTTTTAACTGCCGTTTAACTGTTTATCACAATGCTGCTTTAAATTATTTTATTTTATTTTCGGGTAACTCTCAATGAGCAGCGCACTTAAACTTGCTATTGAAATCTCTCTTTATGTAACGAACGGAATAACGGCACACACTCGCTGCTGCTGCTACTGCTGCTGCTGCTGCTGCGACACGAACGAACTCAGCGCGACAAGTGAAACTTCGCTTTCCGATTCGCATGGCACTGACGTGCGCCGTGAACGGAGCCGAGCCTGCGAGATTCGCTGAAAATCGATAAGGACAGGCAAAGTCGCCTGCCAAAATGCAGGGGGGCGGGCGGGGAAGGCCGTGGCAAAGGCGAACGGCACAAAAGCACATTCTTGTGCGGCCAAAGTGAAACCGAGAGCGTGTGGGTGGCGCGGCAGTGAAAGTGCACATGTCCTGAGTGTCTCATGTCCTGTGGCACAGTGTAGGCCATTTAAATTGGCTTGGATTTGGATTTCAAATTTGGATTGCCTAAGAAAGCATTTCTATCTAACAATAATACTTATTCAAAATTGTATATCGTTTAAACTGTCAAAAAAAAAATTAATTAGCTTTTTTACTTTAATTTTGGAATTTTTAAACTTCGATTAGTCGAAAACATTGTCATATAAAAATATCTTTAAATACGGTTTCAAAGATTTCGATTTGATCCTATAATTTAATTGCAAACTGCAAGAGTATATAAACTTCGGCTGCCCGAAGTTATTTTATTTTTCTTAATTAATATAATTATATCTTAAAAATTAAATAATATTGTAGATAACTACCTTGCTTTTTCTCGCCAATATACCATCTTCGACTTGCTTCGTTTGTTTATACTCTTTCTTGATCATCTTCTAATTGTCTGGGTCTCGCCATTGGCTTTCTCGTTGCCTCTACCCTGTTGTCACATTTTACAGAGTTTTATTGAAAAGAAGAAAATAAAAAGGGTAATTATTTTAGTATCGTTATTAAGTATATTTATTAAATTTTTATTCCATTTATCAAGATTGCTTAAAGCAGGCTTGACAGTTCAAACACCAAAAGCCTACAGGTCGTATGAGTAATATTTGTGACAGCTTTGTAACCTCTGCCAAGAGCACTAAAATTAGTTGCTATAAATTAAATTTATTTAAGTATTTTAATGCCCAACGAATCCCGTGATATTATATCAGATTATTGAGACATCTACAAAATAAGAAAGCTAGATATATCTCAGATACTTAACAACTTCAACATACTTTTAGGCGCCTTTGGAAGCTATAGCCATATATATGTACATGTACCAATAATTCAACCCGCCACTGTAAATACTCGCATGCCTTTTTGGCCAAGAGCGCGAGTGCGCATTTGCCAGGCTCTCAGCTCTCAGGCATATCTGCTCATCCGCTCGATGGCTCCCGGCTGCACAAGCAGCAGAAGCCGAGGCCAAAATGGAGAATGAATCGGCAGAGCCGAGTGACTGCCTCGGGATTACACAGCAGCCTTTGTGTTGTCGCCCTGAATGAAAAGTCCGCCAGCTTGGCGGCCATCAGCCATCAGCTGGGCACCAACGCTTTCTCAATTGCGCTGCCCACGCGAGGCGGCGTCCGCACCAAGTAAACAAATACATGTGCGCACGGCTGTGATAATAGGGCCGTCGCGCACATGTTTCAGCTGTAAGCGTGTCCTTACAGTGAGCCATGGCCGCAGACGCCAACGTAAAAAAAAAATAAGATATATAACTTAGGTTCAGGGCAATTTGATCTTATTCAAAAGATTCATTTTATCATATTAGTTCGAACTTGAAACGATTAACGAAAATTGGAATTTATAAAAAAAATCCAATTCAGGGTCGAATATAAGTTCTTTTAAATCCAGATCGAATTGGCCATCATTTTATGTAATATAATTTAACCCTTTTTAGTACTTACAAGCGGAAAACGGATAAAACTATTATTGCAAACACGAGGAGGTGAGGTAGACTACTGACTGTTAGGGAAGCTCCACCTCCCCTGACCTGGAAGTTGCCGAAAAAGAAGGTGCGCGGCAGCTTGAGCGATGGCAATTGTTGGCACTGACCGGAGAACCACTTCCGGGTGTTACCGTCGCTGTCGCGAGAAATTATACAGATCTCACCATCACGGAGCTTCTCTTCGCCAAGCGCCTGGAGTTCTGCAATAGCAATCTGGGCAGTACGATTGTTGTACGCATAGTCCGATTGATGGAGCACCTCGTTGCTTGAGCTCCGAATATAAACATGAAAGTCGGCTACATCAGCGGTGCCGGAAACGTACCAACTGAGGGTCAGTTTCCCAGATTTGGTTCTGTGAGGAATGAATTATAGATAATTATCTTAGAGATTCGATTTATACTTACGCTTGCACTTCCCGAAACCGGACATCGGTGAGCTGCTCAAAGTCTGCACCTGAATACATCACCCGCTCGTCCTCGGCGCAGTGCAGGTACTCATCCTCTAGAGATAGCAACTGCTTGTCCTTGATCGCAGTCGGAGTGCCGCAATATATGCCCTGCAAATCCTCACTTGGCCATGTTTGCTGCAGCATAAAGTACTTCAGCGGTCGCGTGTTGCAGCCGCAGTGCAGGGGATTTCCAGCCAAATGCACCAGGCTACCATTCCTCATTTTGCGCACTATCGAGGGCGGGAAATCCTCCAAACTGTTGTTGGACAAATCCACATATTTTAGTGCACTGACCTTTACAATATTGGCAAAGGGCAAATGGTAGATTTGGTTGTGCGATATATCCAGGCTGCTTAGGTTCTGCGGCAGATCGAAGATGTGCTCCTCAGAGGCGAGATTTGCGAGCTCATTGTGCGACATATCCAGTTTTTGAAGCGAAGTGAAGTTGGAGAGAACGCCGCGTCTTAGATCGTTGATCTGGTTGTGAGACACATCCAACTTATACAGTTTCTTCGTTCCAAAAGTGATATCATATGTGAGCACGGGCATTTGGTTGTAGCTCAAATCTAGATTCCTCAAGTTATAAGGTATATACTGATGCGATGGAAAGGTCTTTTTGGTCACAAAGCTTATCCGATTGTGGCTCAAATTCAAGGTCTCCAAACTGAGCAAGTCATCCAGAACGCCGTTGGTTTTATTATCCAACTTGGAGAGCAAATTGTGCGACAGATCGAGAGTACGCAGAGAGGGGAGACCAATGAATATGTCATTCTGCAGTTGTTGAATACCGTTGGAGGACAAGTTCAGTGTGAGCAACTGCAACAGGCCCTCAAAGGCTCGCTTGCTGGGGAATTACAAAGCAAAGAGATGAAAAATCTGATTCTAAGTGAAATATGACTACATACCTAATGTCCTTGACTTGATTGCCATGCAGATTCAACTCAAACAGAACGGGCAGCTTGCCAAAAGCACTGCGCTCCAGACTAGAGATGTTATTGTGCTGCAATATATTTATAATTCAGTTTATGTGTGAGTAAATCCTTATGAATTGACTCACCTCCAAGTACAAATATTGCAGCGTTGACATGACAGCCACCGCCTCCAAGGGCGGCAGGGTAATGCCATTGTTTTGCAACTTTAAACGCTGTACCACCAGCAATCCTGTAAAGCTCTGTCCATTAAGGCTGTCGCCCAATTGATTGTGACTCAGATCCAGATAGATCAGTGCATTCATCACCGGCCACGTGCCCGGTGGTATTTCACTTAGCATATTATGGCTGAAGTATAACTCATTAAGGGAGATGGGCAGCTGGAAGAGCTTATCCAACTGGTTGTTGTTCAAGTACAATTGTCGCAGACTGGTCAACTTGGCCAACGAGCCGCGCACTATGTTAACCAGTCCATTGTGACTCAGATCCATTTCCAAAAGAGTCGGTAAAGTACCAAAGGTGGATGACTTGATCTCACGCATACTATTGTAACTCAAATCGAGGGAACGTAGCGAGAATAGGGTTTGAAAAACTCCATTAAATATGCTCGAAATGTTATTGTGGGAAACGTCGATGGTGTGGAGCTCGTAGAGCTTGGGGAAGCAGTTTTTGGGTATCTCAGCGATGTTGTTGTGCGATGCATTCAATACTCGCAAGCCAGTCATGTTCTGAATTGGAATCTGAAGTATAAAACAAAGTTATTGAGCAGTTTTTAAATACTAAATGCCAATAATTACCTGAGCTAAATTAGTAAGTTTGTTATAGCTCAGCTGGAAAGTGGAAGCAAAGGTGGTCTCATCGAAGCTACGCCGTGAAAAGTTGGCCAAGCGATTATGCGATAAGTCAAGAGTCGTGATGTTAACACAGTTTTCAAAGGCCGCCGTTTCTATGAGCTCCAAAGCATTGTGCGAGACATTAATCACAGCCTGATAGATATCTTTGAAGGAGTTCTTTTCGATTTTGGTAATATTATTCTCCGCCAGATCCAGCAGCTAAAATAAACCACGATTTTTAAGATCTAATAAGATGTTTAAGCTAATTTAGAACCCACCTCCACGTAGTTCATTTGGGTAAACATCTGGAACTCTACTTTCGTCAATTTATTACGAGCCAAATCGATCGTTCCAATGCGAGCCACCGAGCCAAAGGTCCCTCGACCAATATCCGTAAGGGCATTATCGCTGAGAAAGAGTCGCCGCAGAAATCGCATTCCCCTAAAGCTATTTGCATCCAATTTCGCAATATTATTATGTGACAAGTTAAGCACCTTTAGCACCGAGTTCCGGGCAAAAGTGCCGCGACTGAGCTCGCTCAACGCATTGTGAGAGACATTGCACCAGCCCAGTTTTGTGAGATCGGATATATGCTGCGCCTCCAGCTTCTTGATCTTGTTGTGACTTATATCAAGCAACTCCAACTCCCTCAGGTTCTTGAACTGATTTCGTTTGAGGTTCTCCAGCTGATTTCCGTGCAAATCGAGGGTTTTGAGTTTTCGCAAAGGCTGAAAGGTCTCTATTGGCAGATCATTCAGTATTCCATTGGTCAGCCGCATGATGCCCAGACTATTGGTGATCTCTTGGCCAGCAAAGAGATCCTTGGGCAGCTGCTCCAAGGCATGGCCATCGATTACCAGTTGTGTGGTCTTGCCAAGAATCTAGAAGGTGTTTTAGAGGATACAGTAAGCCCAGTTTTTGTTAGTTTTTTAGGTATTTACGCCAAATCCCAGTTGTCCCACATGACTAAGATTCGTGCGCAGCAGATGTAGCTGCTCCAAGGTGTTGTTGACGCCATAAAAGACATAATCCTCAATTGTGGTCACCGGCGTCTCTTCTATAATCAGCAAACGTGCCTTGATATTGGCAAACAGAGGACCATAGAGGCGAGCTAGTGAATGATTCAGGTAAGTAAATACATATAGTTAATGACTGAGATGGATCTTACCAATATGACCCCTATATATGGTCAACTCCTCGATGGGCAGCTCAAAGGAGGCCAAGTTCTGAAGAGCCACCGACAGCGTGGCCAAATTGGTATTCTCGCAACGCACATAGAGCCCACTGTCGCTGCCCTTTACACATTCGCAGGGGTACAAAGCCTTGGATCTGTTTAAGTGTATTAATTAATAAGATTATACAAATTTGTATAGTCTAAAACTCACTTTTTGGGACACTTGAATTCTGGTTCGCCGTACACATATTCCGAACTGGCCACGGCCAATAAGTGCAGCAGAACAAGATTGCGCAGGCGTAGCTGAATCATGTTTTAAGGTGTCGTGTGTCGTCAGCGATCCAATTTAGCCATGGCAAAAATCAACTGGAAACCAAGTTTGTTGCTGAAGTCTTTTGTGTCTTCGATCTTTCGGCAACTTAAAACCCTTGATTATTGTGTTTTCCGCTTCAATGGTCATCAATTGCAAAGTTGCGCGTTAAAATACATTGCAGTTCGCGAACAAAGGTAAATATTTTCGTCTTTTCGTCTACCCACTTTTACTTTTTTCTCTGCTGGCGCAGCTCAACAGGTTTTCGGTCGACCACTCTTTTTCTCTGGCTAAGTGCTCTCTTTCGATACTTCCGCTGCGGTGATTTCTGTCGGATTCGCTAACCCGTCTACGGTTAGCACTCGGTTCCCATGCTCACCAAACGGATTTCCTTGTTTATTGGTCATAATTAACACATTAATGTATTATTTTAGCAACTTTTTCCGTTTCGGCGCGAATGTTCATCGATAGGTTCGCAGCGAGTTGGCAGCCCTGCCCGACAGGTCCGATAGTCAGCCTATCGGTGCGCCCGTACGCGCGAATGCAACCCTGTTGTGACAGCTCGCTCGTTGTTAAAGCAAATCCAGGCGCAAAAAATAAATAAAAATTGCTGACGGCCTCTACAATTTCCATTGTACATCCGCACAAGCAAACGTAAGTGCATTCGATGAGTTAATTAAGTGTGTTTCCGTGCGCCCTAGAATTGCGCGGGAGGGCCCTACACTTTTTTGGCATTTTGCAATTGAAGTGAGTGGGCATTGTTCACGTTTCTAGCCTCGCCGACGGGGAGAAATACTGACTTCGCCCGTTTTGCCCGCCATCGCGGCAACAGCCAATCACAGGCCGCGCTACGCATACTGGGCAGAAAATCCGTGTACATACACGTCTGCCTGCTGTGGTATTGGAGCCCGGGGAGAACGCGAGTTACTCGCTGTATGCGGTGTTCATTATGTTTTTGTTGCGCGGCAAAAGTGCGTAGATTAGTGCGATTATCAAATTAATCGGTTCTGTTTCCCCTCTCCAGTTCTAGAGAAAACAAAAAGATGAGCTACGCCGCTGATGTTTTGAACTCGGCCCACTTGGAGCTACATGGCGGTGGTGACGCCGAGCTGCGCCGTCCCTTCGATCCTACGGCCCATGATTTGGATGCCTCGTTCCGCCTAACGAGATTCGCCGACCTCAAGGGACGCGGGTGCAAGGTGCCGCAGGATGTGCTCTCCAAGCTTGTGTCTGCCCTGCAGCAGGACTACTCTGCTCAGGACCAGGAACCACAGTTCCTCAACGTGGCCATTCCCCGAATCGGCATCGGTTTGGATTGCTCCGTAATTCCACTGCGCCATGGCGGCCTGTGCTTGGTGCAGACCACTGATTTCTTCTATCCAATTGTTGACGATCCCTACATGATGGGCAAGATTGCCTGCGCTAACGTGCTGAGTGATCTGTACGCCATGGGCGTCACCGATTGCGACAACATGCTGATGCTGCTGGCTGTCAGTACGAAGATGACCGAAAAGGAACGCGATGTGGTAATTCCACTAATTATGCGCGGCTTCAAGGACTCTGCATTGGAGGCGGGCACCACTGTTACCGGCGGTCAAAGCGTAGTCAATCCCTGGTGCACCATCGGTGGAGTGGCGTCGACCATTTGCCAGCCCAATGAGTATATTGTACCGGATAATGCCGTCGTCGGCGATGTCCTGGTCCTGACCAAGCCGCTGGGTACTCAGGTTGCGGTGAATGCGCACCAGTGGATCGATCAGCCGGAGCGCTGGAACCGCATTAAGCTAGTAGTATCCGAGGAGGATGTGAGGAAGGCCTATCACCGCGCCATGAACTCCATGTCGCGCCTGAACCGCGTCGCCGCTCGTCTCATGCACAAGTACAATGCCCATGGCGCTACCGATATCACTGGATTCGGTCTGCTGGGTCACGCTCAAACTTTGGCCGCTCACCAGAAGAAGGATGTGTCCTTCGTCATTCACAACCTGCCGGTTATCGCAAAGATGGCCGCAGTGGCTAAGGCCTGCGGTAACATGTTCCAGCTGCTTCAGGGACACTCGGCGGAGACCTCCGGCGGATTGCTGATCTGTTTGCCGCGCGAACAGGCTGCCGCTTATTGCAAGGACATTGAGAAGCAGGAGGGCTACCAGGCCTGGATCATTGGTATCGTCGAGAAGGGCAACAAGACTGCCCGCATCATCGACAAGCCACGAGTCATCGAGGTGCCAGCCAAGGATTAGAGAGAGAGAGAGAGAGAGAGAGAGAGAGAGAGAGAAATGGAACGGAACTCCAGGCGCTTGTGTCTATTTTAAGTATCGTAATTTTAACGTAACTGCTGCTCGCCTCAGTTGTAACCGCCATCATCGGTCTTTGTTTTTTATAAAAAAGCTTTTCAACTAATAACACAAGATCAATCAGTGATCAACGTAAATATGGACATCGCAACTGCAATACGAGTAAATAAAAATGGAAAACACTTGACTCTTTGTATCGAGTAAACGAACGAGAACGCTTTTAATTTAGTGGATCCGAAGGGGGGTTTAATGGGGATGATCTATTGTGAGCTTTTTTTAAGTAGACTTGACTACTTGCTGCAGCTTTTTTATCACAATTTGAAATGCATGTTTAGGCGGTTTTATTAAATCCAAAGACTGACGGAATTCACAAATTTTTTTATTTGCAAATATGTATTAAAAGTAGCTTTGCTAATTTTCTTATGTAGACACACGATTTTAAGGCCATGCTAACTAAAACTGGCTTGGTAAGTCAAATACACAGTTAATTTAAATATTTCGTTCAGAGTTCAACATTTTAATTTGTTTACGAGAACTTAACGTTAATATGTATAACAAATGGAAATGTTTTAAACACTTCTGAGACGTTACTTTTATGTTTATTGTATAAACTGAAAATGGGATATATTTCGGAAATTCAAAGCTGTACATATTTATATTGCAAAATTTACAATGTAAATCAAGCTTTTTAAATTCCTACAACTTATATTGTGTTTCAAAAGTGTATTCAAAATTCGTACTGTACTATACATGTTCTCTTTATTGTTCGATCAATTAGCATTACTTAAAGAGAGAAAGCTCTTTCTGAGCTTTAGCAACTGAGAGACACCCCAAGATGCTCTCTGGTGGCAAACAGGTCCGAGATTCTCCTCCGGATGAGACTGTAAGATAGCTAAATAAACAGGTAAATAAGTTAATATTTACTTTTATAGTATTCTTCTCTTCTTTATTATTCGTTAAGTTATAATACAAAATAGATTAATGGATATATTTTAGGAATTTTAATCCTGTAATATCTGAAATAATTGTACAATTTATAATTTTGCGGGATGTCCAGGAAAACTATAAATATTACTAGATTTTTCTTCAGTTACCACTCTTTAGAAAAACTATTATTTATAAGATATTAGAAAACTTCTTAAAAAACTATTTAATAACAAAAACATAGGCACATTTTTTGAATATATTCGAGATACTTTTCCAAGCGGTGGTTTAAAAAAAAAGATACTTCGGCAACACTGATGTGGGAATCGTATGGGAGATCGTTGGATGGCAAGTGTGGGATTCGGTCAGTACTGCACGAGCTAGCGACGCGTCAAGATCCGAATTCCGTTAACAGACTCACAAACTCTTACACTGCGCGATATACCGTTACACTTGTGCTTGGATCGAAATCGAATAATACTAATACATCAAAAAACACAAACACAGCCCCACCGAGTTTTCTCCTTACCATTTCCAGTGAGCAGCCGCAACAACAACAACAGAAACAACTGCGTTTTGGAGTTTTGGAAAAGTGCACAGTGAGTGCTGCAATTATGCGTACAAGAGCGAACCAGAGAAATTGAGCAAGTGTGTGCGTTTGTGTGTTAGATCGTATGAGTGAGTGAGTGGGCTGATTTCGTCTATTGAACTGGAAAGAAGAGCTCAGAAAAAGCACACACAAACACCAGCGCAAACGAGTTTTCCCTACGTGTCGTCGTGTGGCAGAAGTACTCGCTTTTTGAGGTGAAATTTGTGAAAAAGGCAGAAAAACGCATCCTAAAAAGAAATGTGTGTATCTTCTATCTTGTGGCGTAGCACCAGCGCTTCTCTTGGCCAGATGATTCATGTACACTCGATTTATTTGCCTCGCGGAACCGAAAACAGACGGCGCAGTATTCAAATTGAAAGAACAGTGGCAGTGAACTATAAATAGAATTATTTGTTTTCATATACACGGCAAAAGTCTGAAGGAAAAGTGTTTCGGAAATTCGCTTGTATCTCTGTATCTGTGTATCTCCTAAACTTTCGTTTGAATTAGCCAAGTTCAAACGGCGTCGTTAGCTTGTTTATGCCCGCTTGGCTTGAACTCGTGGATTGTGTTGTATTTTGCCTTCGTTTTGTGTGGTGCCGCAAATTGGCAACTCAATAGATACAAAGATACACAGATATACAGACGCTCGTGCTAGAACCACATATAGATAATGATACATTGCCTATATAGTACATAATGGACGCATATATAGACATTAAATTTCGCCTACGTTTTCGTTTTCGGATTTTCGGTTTTTTAACAACAGAACGACGACGACAAAACAACACCTTCGCTTTTTTTCGCCCATTTTCAAACTCGTTCTCTGGCGATTTGTTTATTTACGATATGTTTGCCATTCATTGCCTACGTATGCGATCTCTGCCATTTCACAGCGATCGCCGATATTCTGCTCTACCAAAAACCACGCCCACTCCAATTAGTTAACCCAAGGAATGCCATGGAATACTCGTACTATATTTAATTCGACTTCGAGTTAATGTAACGAACTTGGAGATACATTTTACGATAAGAATTGTTTAAAATCAGCAGATAATTAAAAAAATATTCAAGCAATTATTTTAAAAACTGTCAAAATGTAACCTTCGCACCCTTAAAAGAAAGAACAAAGTATAAAATTAGCATGCTATCACGCAATATGGTATTTTAATTAGATGTTTTTGACAAAATAATT